TTTTTTTCATTTTTATTTCCTTTTTAAATTTTGATATAGACAATCATAAAGTTACAAATAATAAATACATATTCTCTAACTCATAATATTAATGTATTTGATTCAAAATTATTTAATCTTATAAAACACATGACAATTTGAAAATCAAACTAACAAAAAAAAAAAAAAACTAAGAAAATAAAGTACATGTTCATAAGGAAATAAACCAGTGTTTCCTAATAATAGAATTATATATTTTTATTATTTTAGTTAGCGTCTTTTGATAATAGTGCATATTAAATGCCATAAATCTATCTAAATTAGACAACTGATGCATAACCATGAAAAAAAAATTTACTATATATTTTTTTTAAATGTTTGTTCTTTTTTATTTTTCACATAGATTAAAAAAATATTAATTATTATATTATATCAGCATTTTTTATTATATATTTTTTAAATAAGAATTGTATTTAGACAATCAAATTGTATTTAGACAATCTTTCCCAAAATGAATTTTATTTAGAGATATTTTTAAAAAATACATCATTGGAGGAAATATATATATATATATATATATAAATTCTCTTAATTAAATAAAGTGTATTTATGAGATAAGAGAAATCACATGAATTTCGTATGATTATTTAACAGGTATGTTGATATTGCCCCTTTTTTAAGTTTGTCCAAAAATATACCTTACCTGACATCTCTACCTTCAATATTACCAAAATGTGGTGTGTAAGTAGGTTAACAAAAATATAATTTAAATTAACGGTTCAATCTGTTTTTATATAATAAAATAATTCTTCAATCTCTCTTTATATCTATAATTGAACTAATTTATCATTAAATATATATTAAATATCTAATATATCCTTCTAGTGAGACTTTTAAGTTAAACTATCAAAATTAGTCACTCAATTTACATATAAAAACTTTCTATTTGACTGAATTGTAAGAGTATTTTGAAATTTTAACAATTGCATCCTTTTATTCCTTTCAGCTTATACCATAATCCATCCCGATTATTGTTCAATTTAACCTCTATTAGTTTCTAAATCTTCAAAACAAATCTCACCATAGTCTTGAAAGTCATTCATGTGGTATATAATTGTTAAAAAATAATATAAATTATATAATAAAATCTCACTTAATAGTTTAAGTTTTTGAATGAGATAATCTTTTGACGTAATAGTAGATCTTTAATAACCAAACGGTCACGAGTTCAAATCTCATTTTATATTATAAGTAATAAGAGTAAAATGGAGAAACCAGCCTATATTTTGGTGGCGATTTCACTTTTCTATCGGTCTTTCGAAACATTTTCAGTTTCCATTCTCACGTTAGCTGTAATAATTGGTAAAGGCTAAATCATACAGACCTTTTCTCAACTATAAAATGAGATTTCAAGAACATAAGTGGCCCAAGCCCACAATCATAAGTGGCCAAGAGAACTTACACAGTAACACAGCCCAGAGAAAATTTCAGATCCTAAGCTGGAGGAATTATGCACTTAAGAGTGTCCAATCACCACCACCGCAATGGATTTCTGATAGATTCTTTTGGCCCATAAGAAGCTCATAGGCCTCATAATTAGTTTAAGAAAGTTAAAACCATGGATATCCGTTTCATAGAATTCAATTGCTACATATATGGAGACGACTTTTTCCACCTAAAAGGCACCCACCGGAGACCCGGTTCTAATCCAGTCGAATCGGGTCGAATAATAGACTTTTTCCATCTAAGAGATACCCATTGGACACCTAACTCGATTCGAGATTTTTTTAAATCAATTTTTACAAAAATAAAATCTAAGTATAAAAAACAAATTATATCCTCGTCCATAAATCATAAAAACATAAATAGAGTCTCAACTTCAGACCTATACATAAAAACATAAAAGTCCTCCATGAATAATAATAATAAAAAAAAAAGCATACACTGCATTAAAAAATATAATTACAATTCCACCAAAAAAAAAAAAAATCAAAAACCAACTAGGTCGTAGGCAGGTGAAGCCCTCTCTCATCTTTGCAAAATAAAAATTCAACTCAATCAGATGACACAAATTTTTCACAATTTTTTTTTTTAAAGTTGTAAAATGACAACGTTGTCATGTCCTTTTATTTGAAATGCAAACGTTATTTTCTAGAAATAACCCAATATTTGATAACAATTACACGATTCGAAACTTCAACCTTAAAAAATAATAACATCAAGTACTCTATGACTAGACCATAGGCCATTTGTCGATCTCAATACTCCATTTATTTATTTAATCTAATAGTCACGGTATATTTTGCAACAAATGCCTTGACTCATATTCAACAAAATATACATTCTTAAAACAAAGGGAAATACGTAATAAAAAATATTATACCTTGGAAAATTACATTTCAAATAAAAATTAAAAAAATATTCCTCTCAAGTATTTATTTTATGTTTTATAAATGGATTTTTTTTATCAAATATAAACTGAGAAAACTAAAGTATTTACTTATATTTATATTCCAATTAAAAATAAAAATAAATATTTTGTAGTAATAATATACTAATGCTTTATTTGTATACCCCAATCGAAAAAAATGGATGTGGTATTTGTATTAAAAATACAATTAAATCGTTTTTTAAATAATAATCTAAGATTATTGTTTAAGTAATTATAAATCTTGTTATGCATGTTTTGTTAAATATTAAGTATGTTATTTATTGCATAATTTATTATAATAAATATTGTTATTATATATAAAAAATTATTTCAATCTAAAAATTGAAACTAAATAAATATATTGTCGTATTAAAACTGTGCATTAAAAAAAAAATAAAAACTAGATCAAATTTAAAGGTCGGCTACCTTAAACCCCATATCCTATTGTCAACTTCACCAACCAAAGCCATGAAACCGATCTTTCCCTTCCTAAAGGATAAACAATAAAAGAGAGTTAATCTTCTCACCTGTCACTCACGGGCAGCCCTAACACTGTCCATCATGAAGACCATTTCTCAACTCCAAAAGCACAGCCTCGTCAATTGACAATTGGTCACTTTTGGTCAAGAGAGAGAAAAATACAATCAAATAAATATGTTCACATCCATAAAGCACCCACAAACTTTTGAAAGTCACCCTAACCTTTACTCAGCTTTAGAACACCAACATTAAAGTTTTCCTCCATCACATCCAAAGAAGATCTTGGAATGCGTCGATTAGAAATTGCATTTAATCTATAGGGTAAATTTCAATTTTTGTTGTTGAAGTTTATGTTTTGTATCAATTTCATTTAAAATATTTGATTTGTTTTAATTAGATATAGGGTTTTTTAACATTTAGAATTTATATTTTTTGAATTTTTTTATCTACACGTTTTATTCTTTAATTTTTATTTGATTGAGACTCTTTCTCATCGAAATTTTTAAATTTAAATCTTCTATTATAATGCTCATAGGCAGTATTGACACACCATGCATCTCATGATCAATACATCATCTCCACTCTTCAAGATTTTTTATCCCACAATATTGCATATTGATCAATAATTAATGATGTTATAACAAAGAGTTTAAAATAAAAAATCTTAAAGAACAGAGGTCTTAATCAATCCAAAAAAGAATAAAGAGTCTTAATTAAAAAAATTCGAAGAGGGTAGTGTTCAAATATGAAAAAAAAAAAAAAAACTCAATTACATCTTATATTTTTTATTTTGTTTCAACGACATCTTTCACTTTTGTTCCAATTTTCACCTTTCATCTATTTTTGTCAAGTGTGTAAAGCTCAATTTCATTCTTAAAATTTATGAAATATCTCAATATCATCCAAATAATAAACAAAAACATAAACTAATTGAAATTAACAAAAATAGAAAATATTTTTTATTAAAAAAATACAGTAAAAACTTGAGAGTATTAATTTATCAATAAATATTATAGTTACACGAAAAATCAAGATTCAAATTAATTTAACTATTTTTTTATAATTTTTTGTTAAAACCCTCACCATTTTGATCCCTCTCAACTATAATATCCTCTTCTTCCTTTGAAATTATATTCAAATAACACATTTGATATGTGTAAATAACTGCGTTAAATGCGATGTCGAAATTATTCTATACCAAGTTACAATTTAGTTTATATGAGATTTTTTTTTTCAAAATTCTTGTTCAAGATTTTAATGGAAAATTAGATAAAAAAGTATTAATATGATATTCTAATGATAAAGTGTATGAGAGGTAGTCACAGTAGTGGTTGATACTTTTTATTTAAAAAATAATTTTTTATCACATTTATTTTTAAATTTAATTTAATTTTTGTATTGTCAAAAAGTTGCTTGATAGTATTGGAGGAAAAACAAACTTTTTTATTATATTTTTTTAATGAAAAAATATATTTCTTTAATAATTTTTTCAATTTCATTTTTTCAATCTTATTTTTTGGATTATATTGAGATATTTCATAAAATTTAAACATGAAATTAAAATTTACATAGAATTGAACAAAAATAAAAGATACTGGGTCTAACTGAAACAAATAAAAGATTTTAAGTGAAATTAAGAAAGCACATAAACCTCGAGAAACTGATTAAAATTTACACTTTAATATATTGAAAATTAGAGAAATTTATTTTTTAAAATGAACAACATAAACCGTTTAAAGAATAGATTTATTAAAGCTGACCTGAAGATATCTCAAAATATCTATTAAAAAAAAATTATTTCCCATGTGCTTTCCTTGAGAAATTAAACCGTGATTAACAACATGAAGAGCATAAACAATTACCATCGATTAAGCCTTCAAGATTCTAACTACTACTTCATTATCAATAGTACTAAATGGACCCATCCATGCCGACCTTATGCTTCCAAATAAGAACCCCACAAACATACAAACCACAAGCTATCTTTTGTTTCATTTCTTCTTGTTCTCCTCGTTCAAACCGAAAGCCACATACTAGATAGAGAGTAGTAGTAATTATCAACACCTTTCTTTATGACCATCAAGTCTTTATGTTACAAACAACAATAATTATGAAGAACGTTTCGAGAAACAAGTTCTTGCTATGTTTTAAGCCAGTTGTTGATATGGATCAGCTATTGCTTGATCACTCCAAAGTTGGTCTTGTTGATCGCTCAAAAAACCAGACTTTGAAGCATCTTGGCAGGGAAAAGAAAGAGGATATGAAGCGTTTGGTGTCAAATTCTTCTTTGCTTTCGCATGATAAGAATAGGTGTTCAACCATATTTTCTTCACCGGAAAGTTCATTGATTCTTCAATCTCCAAAGAAAAACTTATCTCGTGTCATCAAGGCCGTTTTCTTCGAGACCATAATGGTTAGTTCTTCAAATTTTTTCTCTTCATGTATTATGTTTCAGGCTTAAAAATTTAAAACACTTCTTATTCAAAATTTTATATTTTAATTTCTTTATGAGACCTTATGTTTTCAAGCTTAAATTTTTAGAAGAATTGATTTTTTTTTAAAGTTAGTTTTTCTTTTCTTTGTTTTGGTGATGATCATATGTTGTTTCTTAATTTTATTGTTTTTCAGTCCAAGAGAGTTCGTGATGGAAAAGGTACTCTATGTCCAGACTCAAACATAGGATCAAAGCGTACTTCTTCTTCTTCTTCTTCTTCATCATCATCAGGGAGTAGCAAAAAATCTATGGATGATACAAGTGATCATGATAATACCAACTTGATCAATACTCATCAAGCTAACGAAGCAAATTTGGTAAAACCTTGTTCAAGTTCAATATCAGAACCAAGAAAATTGTGCAAGATAAAGAACTCAACAAACCCAAATCAAGAACCTGAATTCCAGGCAAACAACATGGAAAAGTCAGGCATATATTTACTCCTTATTAGTCTTACAACGACAGTTTTATGGGGTAAGCTATGTGCAATATTTTTCTCCTTAATTTGGTTATATTTCCTGCCTCGAAGGCGGCACAATACTAGTCGGCCTGGAAATGTTACAAGAAGCTTGTGGTTGCCAGAGAAAAAGAGAGTAAAGATCAGTACTACTACAAAAAGAAAGTCATAATGGAAGGGTTGCTTGAAAGGAAACATCAGAGGGTTGATGGCATTAAATTTTTGACGTGAAAGTTCTATTTTCGTGTTTAATGCAATCTCTTCTTATCTGGTTTTGTAAAAAAGAAAAAAAAATTAAAGTTTTGGCAGGCTTCTTGAGACAGATCATACACTAGTTTCTTGTGTTGTCGCCCTTTTGCATTTCTGGGGACTATTGCAGAATCTGAGTGCACAACATTCTCGTTTACTTTTTGCTTCTTTCCTTGCTTTATTTTTTATTTTTTTAATCTTTTGTCTTTTTGGGAATTTTAAGATATTTTTGGGAATTGTAATATATTATTATGGGAAAGAATATAAAGAAACGGAGTTCTGTGTTATAGAATGCATGGGGTCATGCTTTGTTGGATGGTTTAAATTTCTCAGCAATTTCTAGGTTTTTTTCCCACTGTAGATAGAGACTCGAGGCAAAGAGGAGTTGGTATTACATGACAAACTGAATTGGCTATCGTTACAGAGATAAATGATTACTTTAACCTTTTTTTAAGATTCAAATAATCTAAAAAGGGAATCTGAACTTATTGATGTGATTAAAGAATTTTCTGTCTCTTTAAGTTGAAATTTTAATTATGGATTGAATTTATTATATATTGGGATTAGTTTTTGATATCAAATTCAATGTCTCTCTTTAAATCAATTGGTGTTGACGGTTAAAAGGGATTAGTAGACAGTTAATGCCATCAATGGCTGTAGACTGAATTTATTATAATTAATGATGTAGTAATTAGTAATTTCGAAAACAAAAAAAAACGAAAAAATCATTGATACTGTGAATGGTATTTCTGCGAAGGCTGGAAATTGGAATTCATGCATTTATTCTGTTAGCCATGCCATACCAAACCACGCATCCTAATTTTCTTAGCTCTCTCGCATAAATTAAGGTCCTTGACTCCTTTCAGCCCTTTAAGAAAATTGCAACATATATATATATATATATATATATATATATATAGGGGACGGACCGTTAGTCTAAACGGGTTGTTAACTTGTTGAATGTTTAATCCAATAGCTTGACATTTTCCTTAAAGAAAAACAATCTTAATTGTTCTTAAGAAGAGATTAAGTTTGGGAATATTCTTTTTACTTTTGATTCTCAAGGTATGATTGAACTTATTAATACTGGAATCTCAAGTGATAGCCTTGATGATTAAAGGGTGGTAAGTTCGAATCTTATTATTCTAATTTCTTTTTTAATTAAATGAGCACAAGGTGGTGTGAATCTTTGTGCGAGATTCAAATTCAAAAAGCTTTCACTTGAGGAAATGTGTGAAAAAAATAATATAACAATCTAAGTTTTTAAATGAGATGATCTTTTAAGATAGACTAAAAGCGAAGTGAATCTTAAAGAACATATTACATATTAAATATTTAAATTAAATATAATAAATATATAAGTATGAGAAAAGATCATTCATCATAGGATTTAAGTTTATTTTTTAATAAAGTTTAATCTTAATTATTTACCTTTATAATAGAAAACACCAATTTTGCTTCTTCTGGTTTATATCGCAACTCTTGTTTTTCCTTAGGCCGCCTTTTTCATCGTTTATTTAAAATGTACTCTCAAGTTCAGAAGTTTGGCCTAGAAATTGGCGTTCATGAACTCTTTTATTGCCCTTAGTGGTGTTAACCAAAACCTTTTCTAGCTGGCCAGCAGTACTGTTTACACCGAAAGGGGCAACCTATGCTTAACAAAAGTCAAGTTGATCGCAGAATTCGGATCAAAATTAGGCAAGGCAGGCAAATTTGTAGTGTCAAGAAAAATCAATATGAACTTGTAATTTTTTATTGAATCATCAGAAGGTTCATAGGTCTTGAATTGCACAATTTAAATGGCTCTTTTTTATCATATAATCATTAAATAAATTAAAAGTTAACAGAATTTGAATCAAAACTTAAAATTAGTAGGACTTAAAATCTTATTTTACTAAAAAAATCTAATTAGATACATAATTGTTAGACTAAACTACTCTAGTATGAAATTATTTTCTTGATCACATGTATAACATGCAAAACTTTAAATATGGATAATATTTTAAGCAGCAACTGCTTTAATTGATAATCGTACAAAAATATTTTGAAACCTATTAAAGTATTCTTCATATATTATAAAAGGATAAAGGCTAGCATTCCCTATAATGTAGACCACACCACAACGATCTTGTCATGAATGAAAATACCCTAATTAATATTCTAACCATGATGGGCTTTGGTTTTTCTTTTGGAAAGGTTCTCCGTGATATAAAAGTGACGAAGTTCTGTAGGCTATAGGCCAAATAAAGAAGAAGGAAACAAAATAAGACGAGGCTAAACCCTAAAACTAAGTAAATAAATAAAAAGTTAAGTTGGGAGGGCAGATATGTCTTAGTAAGATCTCCAATAAATTTCATTATTAATGCATAATAAGCATGCAATGCTTTAATACCCTTTTAAAGAATGTGGATCGGACCATGTGTTTAATATAGATACTATCATTGGTAAGTTGTTTAATTAGTTATAAATGAGTTGATTTTCAAACGAATTTTTTTTATTAATGTATAGAGTTCGAATTCTAAAATTGTATTTATTAAAAAACCTTAAAACCTTATGGCATCCATTTCGAATAAAATTAATCCTATTTCTAATGAAAAATGAAAACACATGAGGAAAAAAATATGTAGCTACTGTCAATAGGTGAAATGTCAATGCCCAGAGCCTTAAAATGGTTGCCTGCCATTATGGAATTAAGCTAGTTGATTCGAGACCTAAGTGAAGAGAAAGTTCATTAGCCATTGATTACACATATATGGGTATTTTCTTAATAGTTTTTCTTTTCTTTTCTCCAGTGAAATTTGTTTCCTTTCGATGTTCTTCCTACTATAGTTTGTCAATTTGGACAATAAAGCAAATTGAAACAAAACATTATTATAAGATAACTATTATAAAAACCATTTATCAGATTTCACTTAATTGTAGCTTAAATTTTTGGGTTAAATTAGTTTTTTAACATATTATCATAATGTTTTTTAGCAAATGATTAGAAGTTTGAATCTATTATCTTCAAATTTAAAGGACTTTTATTTTTAAAAAAAGATATTTGAAATATCACCTATAATTTAAATTTTTGGGTTGAACTGATTCTTTTATATTATTTATCAAAATTCAAAACCTTGGATCGATTTAAGTACTAAATATAATATATCAAGATGAGTAAATGCTAAAGTTGATAATAGTTCATCGTTTTCTTCAAAAAAAAAAAAAAAAAAAGATTAAAAAGCTAAAAACCACACAATTCTCATATAAAAAACTTTAGGCTGCACCTAGCTATATTAGTACCCAAAAATCATAAATAATTCAGAAATATTTATTTTTAAATAATTAAATTTTAGGAATTGCTGTCCGATGTCAAATAGTGACACATAGATTTAAATACTAAATAAAATATATCAAAATGAGTAAACACTAAAGTCGATAAAAGTTCGTCGTTTTCTTTTTTTAAAAAAAATTGATTAAAAAGCTAAAAAGCACACAATTCTCACATAAAATTAGGTTGCACCTGGCCATATTAGTACCTAAAGCAAGGCCATTTTACAAATTTTGTTTTTGCTTTATTCCTAAACAAAGCGAGAAGAATTAATTAATTAATCAATCAATTAATTAAGCCAATAGCTAAACAAAACCTTGCAAGGTTCATCTGCTAGCAAGTCACTTTTAGTGTTCCAGAACAATAAAAGGCAAAGAGTCATGTGCTTTACTATGGCAAAAGGTAGAGAAAAAGACATGACAATCACGCTTTAGAATTCCTGATCAAGATCACTTCTTCTTTTTCTCATCTACACTTAACTAATTAGTTCATTTAAAACTCCTGAACTAATTAATTAAAGAAATTATTACATATATCACAGTTAACCGGTTTCAAATTCATTTATTGTGAATCTTCTAATCTTGTGTGGATATATTGCTTTTTTATTAAATAATGATTCTCACGTTTATTTTATAGTGAGTTCCATATAATTTATATGAGTGGACTAATTGTGAATTTAATAATCATATCAATACCAATTAGATAGTATAATTCTTATCTGACTGGAGAAATAAACTTGATTTCAATACATAAAAGCTTCTTCGATAATATTCTTAACCATAAACTAATAAAATAAAATAAAATAGAAGCTACCTTAAGGGATGCAAACTCAATATACATGTTTTAAAAAATATCAACTTACCAACAAGTTGTTGATCCTGTATAAATTTTTTCTCAATATATAAGATTCTAATTATAAAATTATAGTTATTAAAAAAAATTAAATTTTATAATTTTTATTTTAAAAATAATTAATTTTATATTTAATATGAAATGAAAATATATAAATAAAATGATAACCTATTGATAAATAATAAGCATCCATTTTATAGATCAGGTAAAGGATTCGATCAACATTAATGAAATTTTATTCTTAAAATATACAAAGTAATGAGTTGAAGGATGTTATTTAGCCACCTTGCGAACTTCTGCTCTACTTGGAAGCCTTTCATTGTACGTAAGTTCACGATGTGTCAAATCTGACCTTTCACTTTTAGGGATAAGATTTGGATCATGATATATATCTCCTGAGAGGATAGTTGTTTGTAATTTAGAGCAGTGATGGACGAGCTCCTTAGTCATTGATAACCAAAGAAGTCCTCTTTATGGCTTTTCTATCCTATGAAATGTAAATAGTTAGACATTTTTGGATAGGTCTTAGCTCTTTTTGTCAGTCTTTATGACACTATTTCGACTTGGATGCCAAGAGTATGATCATTATGGTTCTGTTCCATAGCTGTTCTACAATCAGCTAGGATTGAGACTACACTGTAAATAATTTGATTCGAGATGGTTGATGGATCCGGATAATGCAATGATTTTACGATGGGACGACTTTCTCCTCTTTTAACTTTAACTTTTGTATTATGACTTTTTTTTAATTTATATGTTTAAGGTTACTAAGTAGAATTAGTCAAAGTAAAATTTAACTATGTAACTTTTTATTATAAGAAATTATTACTATTGGGTTATAAACTATCTGGTTCTGTGGTTTGTATATGACTTTTATAGTGTGGGTTTAGGCTCACGTGGTAAGTTGATTGAAATTAAAGAAGAGATCATGAGAAATTTTTTTATTATTATTTAATATAGCGTAGATGTACTTCGCCTGTCTAAGATTCTATCCATGAAGAATTGACTTTACCATAAAAGAGGAAAATGGAAACATTGAGCATGGAAGCTCCTTTATACACTTTGGACTAGATGACATTTTTACTCTATAAACTTTGGACAACCATGGATTAAATTCTTGTGAATGCATGAGGTTAATGGGGTTGTATCATTAAGATAATTCTGAAACTAAATTTAGTTTGGATTGACACATAAACTAGTATGAAAATATTTATCGAATAATATATACATATTAGATTGTTGTATACAATACAATAAATACATGATTAACTATAAAAAAATCTTGTTTTCTTCTTACAGTAAGATTTTTGGGGAGTAAATTATAAATTAGTCCCTTTCCTTTTGAAAAATAAATTAATTAGTTCTGTCAAAAAACTAATTTTTTTTGTCATTTTTCGTTAGAGTGATGATGAAGAGCTTTTATTGTAGTATTTTCGATTTTCAAATTATTGCTTTTTTTTTATGCATTATTTATTTACTTTAGGCACATCTCCGAATCTCTATTTCTTTAAGTATCAAAATAAATCTTCACTTCGTTCTTGAAATCTTTACTTCTCATTTTATTAATTGCCACTCCATCTCTCGCTCCTCAAAGACCAAAACATATCTCTATGAATGGGTGCGTGTGTTAAAAAAATATTTTAATATTAGGTGTTAATTTAATATACCTAGTAAAAATTTGATTGTGAGATACTAAATGATTAGTTTTTAAAATAAAAAAAACTAATTAATTCACTTTTTAAAATAAAAGAGACTAATTTATAATTTATGTTTGGGTCTTAATGTGTACTATTTTTTATTATTTATTTGACCCTTTTATTTTAGAAAATTTTTTAATATGGTTCTTTATAATTTATTTCTAACTTACCATTAATTCTTGACTATATATAAAAAAGCGTGGACACGTGTCTAGAAGCCACACGTCAAGGATTAATAGAAAATTGGATGAAGGGGGCATTAAGACATTATTTTAAATAGAGGGGCCATATTGAGTATAGATCAGGAGTACAGGGATCGAATATAAAGTTAATACCTTTTAAAAGAAACACCCCAAAACGCCATCTCCTTTCAATTTTCAACTATCGCGCGCTTCTTAACTACCTCTCTCTCGCTCTCTCTCAGGTACCTTTCTCTGCTCCTTTCTTTGTGCAGCCAAAAATATCTCTTTTTTCTTGAACTGATTAATTCAATGTTAATGATTTTATCTTTCTTTTCTTATCATTTGCCTTTCTTGTTTTCATCATTAACGTTTTCCTTTCTTTTGTTGCATAAATTTATGTTATTCCCATCAGTTTCTTTAGGGTTTATACTACTGTTTCTTGAACTTCATTTTTTTGTGAATGCAATAAAGAACCGATGTAATCGAACTGTTTCAGTGTTTCTTTACCATTTTTGTCTGATTTACTGAAATGGGTCTTGACCAAGTTTCTTTCTTGATTTCTTTGCATATAATGAAATGGGTTTGGTTTAGTCTCTTATTTACCATGTTTTTGTCGCTTTATTGGTTTCCTTGTGTTAATTTTAGAGAATTATGTATGACTTCACATTGTGTATGAATTATGCTAAGTTTCTTTTTATTTTTTCTGATTTTTGTTTGATGGGTTTTTAAAAAAACTCACATTAGTGGATACTGGAATCCATTGTTAACTTTAAGTTAGACCAGAAATTTTTTTTTTTTTGGATTCTCTATTCTGTTTTTCCTTTTCAAAAATTTGTTGTTGTTTTATACACTATCTTTGATTTCGTGTTGTCTTGGGGCCAATTCTTAATTAGTACTTCATTGGGTGCAGGATTTTAATAAAGGTATTGGCTATTCATGCACATTGAAATTTGTTGTTTCGTCGAAAACTGTTGTAAAGATGGAACCTTCAGGGGCATTATTGATTCAACAAAGGGAGGATAGAGGCTTACGGGGGGATAATAGTATTTCCAGACTTGTGCAGACTCTGAATTGTGCTATCGTTAGTGATGTACACTCATCTCATATGTTTGGCCCGGCTTTACCAGATATCAAGTGCAATGAGGAGCAAGAGGATGATTATTGTGGTTGCACTGGCATTGACAATGAAGGGGATGTGATTATTGATTTGCTAAGGGTGGAGCATGCTAAAGAAAAGAAGAAGAAGAAGAAGTGGAATAGAAGGAAGACTCAGTCAACCAAGGAGGAGGTAGATAATCCAGCATCAAAAAGTGATGAATTTCCAAAGCAAGAAACCTCCTTGACAGCTGAAGGTTCCCCATGTACGTTTGAAGCTTTATGTGATGACAGCCGAAAAGATACAACCTGCTCAAAGGAAGAGACTGAAGGAGCCAGCACCAACAGTCTTACCAAGAATTCTGAGGAAGGTTTTGCCTCTAGATATTTATCTGAATGTAATTCTTGTAAGACCATGGACATTAAGTCTTTCTGCAAAGGTTGTGGCAGAGGAAGTACCAAATCTGGCTGCCAGTGTTGTAATGTCGACAACGTCGACGATATGGTAAAATCTGATGCTGTAAACTATGGTTATCACCACCAAATCTGGAGGGGAGAGGAAAATAGTCCATTGAACTGGCAGAGGAGTCGGAGAAATTTCAGGGAGGGAAAATTGCATTCGGTAAGCAGATTGGATTGTGCTAATGTGAAGGAACATATGAGCTTGCGAGAGACAAATTTCCGTGCACAACAAAACTCATTTGCTGGTAAAGTGTTGCTACCCACACCCATGGTTTCTTCTGCTGGACACAGCAATGCTGCCTGTGTAAGTAACAGGATGGCAAATACAGAGAGAAAAATGCACAGGGGATTCCCTAGTAAAGTATTTTCTCGACATGACTGGGTCCCTAGGCATAGGTTAAACAGGAATCATTCTCAATACTTTTCACTGTCAAATCGAGCCCTTGAAATTGAGTGTGACAAATCAATATTGCTTTCTCAGTGTCCATTTGTCTTTGAGAGAAACCGCAACAGAGAAATAGGATGGGGAGGTTATGGTCAAACTTTCTCTAGGCCTATTTTCACTCATGGTTCATACTGCTTAAATCCATCTACAGCTGCTTCTGATCATGTGCAGCAAAGATTTACTAGGTGGATTCCTAGGATGAACCATGTAACAGATAGGTATTCCGATACTTCTGTAGACGGTAAACTACATTCCAGATTGAAATATTACAATGAATATAGAGGAAGGCGTGTTATTCCTAGTAGAGCAAAAACTATGTGGGTTCCTGTTTGTACCAAGGATTCTGTGATGCCACAGAACACTTATTCTGCTAGTGTCTGCGATTCTTATGATATCCCCCAATTTTCATGCAATGTGCTCACTGATAGCCTTTCAAATGGAGATGTGGTTCCTTTAGGCGTTTCTAATTCTTTAAGTGATTCTAAAAGCTTAAGCTTGAAGTCTAGTCACAGAAAAACCTCAGTTGAAGGTGAAGCCCCAAAATCTGAAGAGTTTTCTGCTGGTCAGAAAGTTGTAAGTGCTAAGGAAGATATGGCATGTACTGAAAAATCAAGAGATGTTGCTCAGTGCCTTGGGTCACAATTGAGAACAGAAGAATCAAATGCAGCTCGAAAACTGCAACTAGAATATTATAGTACATTGGGCCATCCAATAGCTGAGTTTGAAAGATTCCTTCATTCTGCTGCTCCTGTTATTACTTCCTCTTGTATCTATGAAAATCAGCTGTTAAATAGTTCTCTTTGTCAGACCCAGAAACCAACTACATCACTTCAGGCTGTTTGGCAGTGGTATGAGATGCCTGGGAATTATGGATTAGAAATCAAGGCAAGAGATTCTCAAAATATAAATGGTTTGCTTGCCGAATCGACATCGTTTTGTGCGTATTTTGTTCCTTCCCTTTCAGCTGTTCAATTGTTTGGTTATCCACATCTCTCATATGCTTGTGGGGAGAATCTGCACACCAACCCTGAACTCATATTTGAATTTTTTGAATCTGAGATGCCACATCTTCGAAAGCCTCTTCATTTAAAGTTAGTTTTCTACTTTGCGATTTTCAGTCTTGCCTATGTTATTATCGTTTTCTTGTGGGAGCAGCAACTTTTTAAAAGTGCTTGTGAACTTAAAATGCAATCAGTTAAATGATGTGGTTGCTACACAGAATCATCAACAAATGTGACTAACCATTTTTCCTTGTGTGGTTCTTTTTCTGCAATTTACTGTTGACAGAACTTGCATTGGAAGCTACGATGATCAGGATTGCTCTTTCTTGTAACTCAACAGCCAATCATCACATAAGAAACTGGTTGTTGCGTTACCGGCAAGAGCATGCCTTATTTGAATATCATCTGACATGTAATTTCATGTCTTTTGTGATGCCCAGTAGCTGAGACTTTAGGCTTTTATTTATTTATTTTATAACTTGAGAATGATCCTTTAATTTGCCTCACTTTTGTATACTTTCCTCTTCTTGAACAAACATTCTGGTGAGATGCAACTGATATTGTGTTAATCCCTTGATAATTGCAGAATCAGGGATCTCATCAGTATTGAAACTGCTAACCTTCAAGTGTTTGGTGATCCATCAAAGCTGGAATCTATGAACCTTCATGATCTACACCCTGCTACTTGGTGAGAACTGACAAAATCTTGTAGTTCTTGTTATCCTTACTGCTTATGTGAGGGCTGAATTTTATCATATTCATGAATTCTGGATAAATGGTTTCAGGTTTTCAGTTGCCTGGTACCCTATATATCGAATTCCAGCAGGAAAGTTCAGTGCATCATTCTTGACTTACCATTTATTAGGTCAATCAGTTGTTCAAACCATTCCAATTGATTCACTCAGTAAGATGTTTCAGATTGTCTTCCCAGTTATAGGATTACTAAGCTACAATACAAAGGTAAACTACTATATAGCATTAACTCACACATTCCGATAATTTTTGTTTTGGATTGCACTTCTGTATGTAGAAATGGTGTCTGCAAGAGAAGGAAATTGCAGTCAGGGATTCTTCTCATTACTTAGCTCTAATTTTGCACGGTCCTCATTTGTGAACAATGACATGCTCGTGTTAAGTAGTTGATGAAAATTTGGTTGAATTGCTGGTACCAAAAGACGAGATTGATTCACGTTTCTTATGATAATGTTCTTTTTTCATACACAATGATTAGTTCTTCCATATTGTGTTGTTTTTGTTTTATGATATTTTGGTCAGTGGTAAGTACATGTTAGACGATAATGCTTTAAGAATGAGTATTTGATGAGAGGCTATACCCCCAATCTGCTAAGAATTGTATTTAAGGAACAGGCTCAATACCTGACAATCTTTTATCTGTAGGACGAATGCTGGTTTGATCTCAGAACACCTGTTGAATCTTCTTCAAAAGAAACCACATCTTTTAGCACTACTGAAATTCTCAAAGAAAGATGCAGAACACTGGAGGGAAAGGCCTTACAGCTCTCTAGAGGTAGTGTTACTGAAGATAAAGTCAATGGACTTTATAATCATCCAGATTGCATGTTCTTTGCTTCTCGGAAGTGCTAGGTTGCGCTTTCCTGCATCACATCTTACATTGGACTGATTTCTGGAAAACAAAAAACATCAGGTCCAAAAGGCCAGTATAGTATTAGTTTTGCTGGTTTTTGTAGGCATTAAGAAACAGAAAGTATAGAACAGCCCTGCAGAAGAGTTAGTTTCGGTTTGTACAATCACTGAAGTTGATGCCACTATAGCATGCAGTTTAGCAGAGGTTTTCCACTGTAAATTAGAAATCCCTCTCCATCTTGAGTGGCTTTACATTGCAAAACTTTTTCCTGATTTTGAATAACACCTGCTGTATATTGCTTCTCTATTTGCTGCAAACATATAACGTTACTGTAGTTTTGTTCCACCCTTCTATCTCTCTTTTGCTATTTCCCTCTATTTGCTTTTCCCTCGTAGTATGCTGATGTTTGCCTCATAAGTCTTCGAATTATAAAGTATTTACTTTTCTTTTCGTTGAAATGTTGAACAGATAATACATTTAGGTAATCAAATTGTTAAGTTTTTTCAAATTAATTTTGAAGCTCATTTCTATTCATCTATGCTGGTCAATGCCAGTCAATTGAATACAGCTTCGTTTCAATTCCTGATTGTTCTTGTTCACCCTATATTGCACTTAAAATGAGTGGATCAGCTTGCTTTGTAGACCAATTCACAAGGTGAGAATCAGATGCATGACCTGGAATTATAAAGCTAAATTGTCCCTGTTCAGTAGTCTGTAGTCATCAGAAGCCGAATCGAATGTCATTGTTGATTATTCTTCTTAGTCATGAGGTCTCTTCTGCTTCGCACACACGTAACAGATTCTTGGTCCCAAGTCATGGCTACCTCCAACTCAGGTAACCAATTAATAACTCCTTAAGTTCCAGGAAAGGAACAAAGAAATGGAATCTTTTTACAGGCATTTGGTTGGTATGGAATATGAAGTTATAATCTTCATTTGTGTGTTAGGACCATCCAAGTCTTTTCTCATTAGTCTGCTAGAACCACCTAGACCATATTTAGATCTTATGGGTTCAGCGCAAGATCCCAGGTTTGTTCGTGCCGATGTTGTTGTAGTAATGAATGAGGTGGTAGTTGGTGGGCAAGTAATGCTCAGGATGTAACCTCTTTTACAAAGGTGATGTTTCATAATAGAAGAACTTTATGATCATCTTTTGGTCAAAACTCTTTCTTGGAAAGACAATTAATTGATAGCACTACCTTATTCTTGGAGGAATTACAATTCTGAAGATGGATTGAGGATGAAATGATCTGGTTAGACTTGCTAATATCTGCTACTTGCCCTTGTCAAAGATTCTAATGTACATTTAGCTGTGGCTAGGTATCTCAAAAAACCAACTACAGGCTGCAGTTGATGCCATAAAGCATGAAGCATGACATAGATTTGGAGATGATACATGAAGCAAGGCTTTGACAACAGTAGTAACTGTTATTCTCAGAAATAATTTGAAACTAGGTTTTCAAATAATATACAAACCATGTAAAGAGGAGAAATTTTAACTATTACAATCACCTAAGACTCGCATTCTCATATGTAACAGCAGCATTATAGTTACTTGCAATGCACTTCTTTGGTTCTCTTTTTCAAGACTTGGAACTTGTGTTTGATGTGTTGCTCTTGGTCTGAGAAGAAGCAGTTGAGGTGTGGCTCTGTGTCTGTGAACTTTGGGTAGAGGATGCCTCTGTGAAGAAAATTATGTTCTCCTGGCTGTCAAGAAAAACTTGGAGAGATCTTGGAGTTGGAGGTGCGGTCACATTCACAACCCCTTCGAGGATCTGAACTACCTGACCCATTGATGGCCTTTGGGTTTCATCATCTTGGATGCACCAGCAAGCAACTTTACAAGTTCTTGTTAGCTCTTCAAGATCAGCATTCCCTTCCAATCTGTGGTCCAATAGGCTGAGGATGTCACCGTGGTCTTGATTGATTTGGCTTGCAACGTAACTTGGGAAGAACTTCACTTTTCCATCTTCAGATTGCTCAGAGTTTCTCCTTCCTGACACAACTTCAAAAAGCATCATTCCATAGCTGTAAACATCTGCTTTGGCCGTTATAGCCACTCCTGAAATCCACTCTGGTGCAAGATAACCTCTTGTCCCTCTCATGGTTGTAAGCACTCTGCTAAAATCCCGGCCAACAAGCTTTGCCAGGCCAAAATCTGCCACTTTGGGGCAAAACTCAGCATCTAAAAGGATGTTCTCAGGCTTTATATCGCAGTGAATGATGCAGTCCCTGCATTTCTCATGGAGATAAGTCAACCCTCTTGCTGTTCCCAAAGCAATATTGTACCTAGTTTTCCAGTCCAAGACCTTCGAGTCCTTCTCATAGAAAAGATGGGAATCAAGAGAACCATTTGGCATGTAGTCATAGACCAACAGCTTCTTGGCACCCTCCGAGCAGAACCCGCGAAGCCGAACAAGATTGACGTGCTGGACTGTGCCGATTGTGCTCACTTCTGAACGGAATTGCTTCTCTCCTTGGCTGATGCCTTCGAGCTTCTTCACAGCTATGACACTCGTATCTGGCAGCACCCCTTTGAAAACAGAACCAAAACCTCCTCCCCCCAATTTCTCAGAGAAATTCTTCGTCGCATTCTGTAAATCTCTGTACCCAAAAGCCATCAGTGAACCTTCTACTGCTTTCCCCATTTTGACTGTTCTCCTCCTCCTCAAGAACACAAACAGAACAAGGCCAAGGAGAGACACTATCACCACTGAGCCCACAACACCACCAATAACTACTCCCTTATTACTCTTAGAACTTGAAAACTCAGAAGCTGCAAGCCTGATATAGATAGTTGTTCCACTTGTGTCATCTGCTAGTTGTTCCATATTCAAAAGATGGCCGAACCAAGCTGAGCACTGACTGCCATTATAAGCATAGGCAGCGCAAGAGCAGTTACTCAAGCAAGTTGATTCGCATTCCTGTGCACTCCTGGCTGCCACTGTCTGTGGATTAGCAGGCAACTTTACATTGTCACTTGGGAAAAATCTGTCACTCTTCCCATTAACAACACTAGAATTCCCACACTGCAAATTTGTTGCCCTCTCACATCCCCCGGAGAAAACCTCCGAATCCCAGTCCTCCCTCGATTTCGGGTTGAAACCTTTCAAGCAGTTGCAGAAAGGCTGTGATTTTTCATTGCAGATTCCAAAAGCCCCACAGTAACCATAAACCTCACATTGCGTCTTTGGTTGAGACCAGAACAAAAACCATTGATTGACACTGTCCAACCATGATTTTTGCTGAATCTGTCCCCCATAATCCATCACAAACCGAGATGTGATTGTTTTGTTGTACACTGAATATGTGAAATAGCTCTCATTATCATTGCTCACATAACTAAAGTTGTAAATATAATTCAATCTCATTTCAGGAACTCCACTAAAAATCTGTCCATTCCATGTTCCACTAGACCAATACCATAAAGACCTATTCCAGAAGATCAAATATCGACTCTGATTTGGGTCTAGCTCAAGAGAGAAAAGACCTGGTGCAGGATCTTCTTTGCTTTTCCATGAAATGAGACGCGTGTTCCTCTTGGTGATTTTGTTCAATCCAACCGTAGCACCAGGCAGCCATGTATCAGATGGAAAATCAAAAGACTGCCATAGCGGTGACACTGATGGATTAGACCCATCTCTCAAAACAAGATTTCCATCATCACCAAGCACTGCTTCCACCGAATTTGACCTACTAGAGCTCAAATTTGTGGACCAAATTTGGATCTTGGACTCATTAAAGAGAACTAAATTACCACCAGATATTTTTAACTCTGAAGAAAATCTATCAGAAACAGGTGTCTCTCTATTTGCCACCCAAACTATGGTCTGTTCAGACACTCTATCTTTATAGTACCACATCCCTATGTAGTATTTTGAGGAGGAGTTACCTGGCTTGAAGAAACCAAGTTCAAAGACTTTTCCTGCTGAGACAATAGTTTGGTCTCCAGAGACAGAACTGTTTGCAGAGATTGTATCAGCTCCAAGGGAGACATGGGAGTTGAAAGAAAAACAAAAGAAGATAACAAAAGACATGATCCATGGATTGTTCCTGACCTCCATGGCTGCTGCTAATGAATTTTGCAGGCAAAATTTTAGATGTTGGAGGTGTAAGAATATACAGCTAATTTTATGCAGTCTTAAAAGAAAGAAAGCAAGACTTGGTCATCATCTGCCCACTTGGAAGACTGTTGGTTTGAACCTGAAGTCAACCAAGCTTTCTTTAACTTCTTTACAACGTTCAAAATGAAAAAAATATATATGTGATAGTTTGTTTAAAAATATTATAAAAAGAAAACTTAAAATCGAGAATTCGATCCCAAGAACAAAAACCAATTATCAAAATATTTGTTACCAATCATAGTTATATATATATATATATATATATATATATATGGTGGTTGATACATTCATTTGAAGGAAAGTGACAATTTGTGAGTAAAAAATATATGTGTGTCTCAGTTTTTCTTGAAGGAGTTGTGGGGGTGATTTTTTTTACGATCACAAAGTCATTATCCTCGTGGCCAGAAAAGAAAATTCAAAGTTAGAAGATTTTCCCATGTTCAGACCTTTCTAGAAATCAACCTTGAATTCTGTGAAAGACAATGTTTCGTCCCCAGCGGAGGACTGAGGGTCCAAACTTGGTCAGTGCATGGAACATGACCACATAGCCAGAGCTTCTGTAGAATGTTTTTTCATATAAATATTAATCATTGCATATTTATTTCTTGATATTGATACATATCCGTTTATTAGTTTTCATTTTTTTCATCATTATTCTATATATGTATATTAATTAAATCAAAAGAATGATATAAAAATGAATTAAAATTTTTGATGTTTTTATACTATCCAATAATATTTTTTATTAATTTTTTTATTAAGGTGTCAAACTATTTATGTCGGATTGATCGAATTTCGTCACTTAATTAGTATCTGATCAATCATGACATATATTAAATTATTTTTTTTTATCGTTTAATTGATGTATATCATCACATGACTGATCAAATATTAATCAACTGATGAAATATAATTAATCTAATAGAAATAATTGATTTCTTCTTATACCTAGTAATAGAAGATTTGTCATGTACTATACCTAAGTAAAAGGATTAACCTAACTAACTATTATTAGATAATAAAACGACACATGATGTATTTAACTCTTAAATTAGGACTAAAAGTCAAAAATAACTTTTCGTGGTTAGGAGAAAAATACATCTCAACCATCAATTCAAAACTAAACTTATCGTTAACAATAATCAAAGATCTTAATTCTATAAAATAATCAAAGGTGTTATAAAAGTCAACACCATTCAATTAATTAAGAAACCAGAAGTGTTTCTTTTTATTTTGGCCATAATTTATTTTTTTTTCTTTAGGAAAAAAAAAACATAAAAGACAGAACAGAGCTGGGTGCCACTATTTGCTGTGTGGAAAACTCACCCCAGTCACTTTCATGAACATAATAAAATATATTGTTGGCTGGGTGGCACCATTGCCTTCACATGGCCATAAAAACTTGCCATCAATTCTCGACCGACCTCTCAACTTCATTAAATGTGTAAGGAAACAAAAAAGTTTCCCTTTGCCCATTATGATCTACCTAGGACTCGTTCAATTTTAAATTTAAGTTCGAATTTCGTTATTTTTTTTTTAAAAAAAGAAGAGATATGTCTATATTATATCAATTTTATTCCTAAAAATATTTTAAATTTTGATGAGAGCTTGGCTTTTTTTTTTCGTATGTGATCATAGACGATTGAAAGACTATCCCTAATTCAAGGAAGAAGATTTTATGAATTGGTTTAGCCATTCACAAGAAATTATTCAAGGTATGATTAATCCTATTCGAAACAGGAATAATAAAATTCAATCAAAAATCGATTTCTATATATTAACAAAAAATTCGTTTAAAGATCACTTTGTTTATTATCAAACCAACAACTTATTAATAATTTGCTTAATTATTAAATTTTATGAATGTTATTACGTTATTGTCGGGTTGATTCTCATTTTTTTTATTTACCCTTTTTTTTTTAAAAAAAACAACAAAACAAACGGCCATCATTGCAATGGCACTAGTAGCTCATTCAACTTCACCGCTTGCTTCTTCAGTCTTAG